TTGAATCGGCTACCTAGCCATACATTTGGAACTGTTTGGTGCAACATCGACATGTTCCACCTTAAATTACTGATAAGATTCTCTCTCCTTGTCAATTGTAGGTCAAATTAACTGGCACATCATTGGGTTTTCAGAATCGGCTTGTTCTGTGTTGAAGCTAAGCAGATCTCTGGTCTCATTCCACACAGATCTTCCGGCTTACTATGTGTTGATCACATCGCCATATTTTTGTGTCAATAGAAGTTCTGGACCATGAGCCAGTTCTCCATCCCGTGGTGCGGACATGCCTGGATGTAATCCTGTAGCCTCTCCCATGCCTCGGGGATGGATTCTATTGAAGTCTGCTGGAAGTTTGAAATCTTCTCCCTCGGTGCATTGGTTTTGCCCAGGGGGAAAAACTTCACGAGGAACACCACGGAACATTTATCCCACGTGTTGACATCTTCCTTTTCCTTATAAAACCCGTGTTTCGCCTTCCCTACGAGGGAGAAGGGAAACAGACGAAGCCTAATGCTAGCTGGTGCGACGTCTTTTATGATGTTGGTGTCGCACAGCTCTAGGAAGTGTTGCAAGTGTGCACTTGTGTCCTCGCCTAGCAAACCACATAACTGGTTTGCCTGCACCATCGTGATTAGGCCAGTGCGCAGCTCGAAGTTTCCATTGTCCGTGTTGACAGCGGTCCCAACGGGCACGTTGGCAACAGCGGGGGTGGAGTAGTCGCGGAGTGATTTGGCCATAGTGGTAGTAGCGGATGGTACGGGGGCAACTGATTCAACTACCGGCGGAGTAGCAGAGGAAGAAGTTGTACGAACCTGTTCTTCCTTAGGAGCGCCTCCGGATTATCGGTGTAGTTTTCCGGGAAGACGAAACAGGTCATATACTGTCCTGTTTTCATCCACAATAGGAAGAAAACAAGCAGAGTTAGTCTATATAAACTATGGCTATCATTACATGCATGTGATCATGATCATGTCCTACTAGATTCTTTTAACCTATGCCCTCCGCGGCAACAGCGCTAGAAATGCTTGTTGGCATTTCTAAGCGACATCACCGAATATGGAGTTTTAAGTCCATTCTCGGCAACGGCATCAGAAATGCTTGTTGGCGTTTCTTAGCTCAATCACCAAGTATGGAGATGGAATCCATACCTAGCAACGGCACTATAAATGCCTGTTGGTATTTCTTGGTACCATCACTAAGATTTGGATAAATCTTAGCAACGCCACCAAGAAACACCAACATGACAGTTCTTAATGATTACATAAATAATATCCGCAAGCGCATGGATCTATCATTGTAGCATTTCACCTAGAAGTATTCAGGGTATCGCTATTTATATTTTTCCAAAGGAGGGCAAGGTGTAAGAGTCTAGCATGGATATGAACAAGATTACGTGCTTGCATAGTAAACCAATGTTTATACCAGGAGTAAAATTGGTGTTTCAATGATAGTGGACACACATCTGGGGCAACCTCAAAGATAAAAGGAAAACAAAGAATAAAAGAATGTTCCTAAGTGGAGCAGGCATGTTCTAATATAGTTGTGCAAAGAACAGTTAATGATCATACAAATTACATGGTTAGAGCTAGACCTAAGTGTGAGATGGACGGGGAGATCTCCGAGCACTGGTCTGCCAGCAAACGCGAGAGACTTTAATACTACTACACAATATCCAAACGTGGGGGATTACAAGGGACGGATAGGGCTATCACCACCTATCGCCTACCCCTCAACCAAGGGGTACCGTCATATTCAAAGGTTTCTATGCATCCAGGCACCACGCCCGTGTACAAAGAAACTACCCATAATCCCCCCGGGACTTTGAGCCTACGGATCGACAAGCATAGGACATGGGCAAACCCAAAGGAACGATGAACCACCACCTCAACTTAGCTCTACTTCTACTCATACAAGTTATAAGAATGGTTAAGCATAAAGTTGCACATGTTAAGATCATAATACACAAACTATATGCTAGTTCATATGTCAAGATTGTAACAATGAGAACTATAGTCTAGTTCATATGCACTACTATAATAAAATGAGAGCAAGACTTTGGAAGAACTCATTGTATTATTCATACCAAAGGTCCTTTCTTCCAAGGAGCCAAGCTCTCCTTGATAGCTTTGCCTTACTCCAAATACTACTAAAAAGTGAAAGAGTATAAGTAGATAAGTGGAGGTGTAGAGGCTCAAATGGTGTGTGTTGAGAGGTGAGCTCCACCCTTGCTTTTATACATGCTTGAGGTTGGTTTGGGCGTGGAAAAATAGGAAACTATCCTATACCACCATGCAACCGTCGGTGGAAGTTGGGCCTAGGAGCCGGCCACTGGGGTGCGGCCGCACCAGGTAGCTTTGCCTTACTCCAAATACTACTAAAAAGTAAAAGAGTACAAGTAGAGAAGTGGAGGTGTAGAGGCTCAAATGGTGTGTGTTGAGAGGTGAGCTCCACCCTTGCTTTTATACATGCTTGAGGTCGATTTGGGTGTGGAAAAATAGAAAACTATCCTATACCACCATGCAACCTTCGGTGGAAGCTGGGCCTAGGAGCCAGCCACTGGGGTGTGGTTCCTGGGTGCCTTCACGTGGTCGGTTCCTGGGTGGGCCTGAGCTTCATCTATGTCGGTGCTCGGTCCAGATTTGTTGGTTGCTTAGGCCTTTGCTTGGTTCTTTTGTGTAGGATCTGCATTACGCTTTGTCTGATGGCGTATTTTGACTATAATTCCCTTGTATTCAAGTATGAGTCTGCAAAACAGTGAATCTCCAATACATGTAGAACTATATCAATATTAAAAATATATGTGTCGAAAGTTTGTTTATTTCTCCCATTTTGTATCTTAATTGGCGGTCGGATATTGTCGTTAAGGACCGCCAACAAATGATAATACTCTGCCAAGATCCAACCTATAATTACTTCAACCTACCACTTTCACCTCAACCACTATAACCACCTCCACATATAGCCTTCCCCTTCCACCTCCCCTCCATCCAAAGTTTAGGGCTTGTTGGGCCCTTTATGTACTCAACCCCTTCCATTCTATGTTTTTAGGAGTAAAGCTATAGGAGCACATACCCGGATGGAACTATTGGAGCTACGTGAGGTTAGGACAATAGGAGAACGTACGAGTATGGAGCTATCGAGGAGCAAGGCTAAGACAACCGGAGAGTAGCCGGAGAGGGAGCCGTACAACTACACGAAGGAGCTACGCTAGGACTACGACGATTGGAATATAGGAGTACGCTTAAGGAATAAGTCTAGGGTTACGTCCGCACGCCAAGTTGCTTATAGGAATGGAGCCACGTTGATATATGACCGCTGCCTTAGAACTCTGATATACGATATAAGGCCAATGGCCCAAGCTATGTAACCCGAACCATGTAATATGTTTTCCCCATTAACAATAAAAGTATGGTTTTTATATCAATCTTGTTCGAATTGTGCGTACTAGCTACTGATCCAGGGACTGATACATGATGCACAAAGGACCCTAAATTAGGGGCTCGACAACCGTCGAGAGCAAAATCACGCCAGACTAGCGCCTGGCAGCAGCGTCAACCGCCGATGGAACCACAACGTAGATCCTACCCTCCACAGATCTGAATTGAGGAAGGAACCGGGAGGGCTGAGGCAAGGAGGAGTAGTGGACCCTAAATTAGGGGCCCGACAACCGTCGAGAGCAAAATCACGCCAGACTAGTGCCTGGCAGCAGCGTCAACCGCCGATGGAACCACAACGTAGATCCTACCCTCCACAGATCTGAATTGAGGAAGGAACCGGGAGGGCTGAGGCAAGGAGGAATAGTGGAGGGAGCAAAATCGCATGGCTGAGACTAGGGAGGAACGGTGGAGCAAGAGGAGGCGACGACCGAATCTAAGAGGCAGAGAGACCGAGCATGTGTGAGAGTGGGCATCGAGAGGTTGGAGAAAGATACTGGGACCCACCATTATTGCCTTTCTTATTAGAGCTTGATCAACATAGGCATATATACATATTGGTCTCAACTAAAAGGTAGAGTCCACCTAGACAAAGAAGACGTGAGCCATCAATTCTCCCATCACAGCCCGTGCTAACACTCTGTAAAATGCTGCATTAGTATTTTAGCTTTTCTCCCTCATTGAGTCAGAAGCATTCAACTTTTCCACCACAACGTTCGCTCTAGCTGTAGCTTCATCATTTTGTCACGGGTGCTCCTGCAGACTACTCTGACACTCGGCGAAAGACACTAGTTGAGCATATCTAGACATTCGGTGAAGACGTGGAGCTTGGGGCTACAATACACACCGGAGCGATACGGTGCTCTTATGGACTTTGTTGTAGTTATATTGGCCCCATTCGGCTTACCTTATATCTAGCTTATTCGACTTCTTTTTTTTAGCTGTAACAGTGTTTTTCTCTCACAACATTTCAGTTAGAACAGTATTTTCAGCCAATTTTAGCTAAGTTTCAGCAAGCTGAACGGAGCCATTGTCGAAAAGACGTAGGATCTATGTTTAATATCAAACCATCCCTCGAAGAGCATTAGGGGTTGGATTGAGAGTTGGGCAGGTAAACATGGAGAGCCAAGCATTTTAGGAAGTCAATCACATTTGCATCGCGGCTATTTGCTCTTTGCATCCCTCTAAATCCCTGATTTTTTTTTTCCGTTTTTAGCTGTGGGGAGGGCAGTCGATGGAAATTAGGCGGGTTGCGGGTCCACATGCAGCACGCAGCTTCGTCGCCTTGAATCGTCACGCCCAGCCAGCCCCTGCACCAGCAGTTAATTGTCTTAACGCCCCCTTCCTTTCCTTCCCAGCGCCAACCAAACAACACACAAAGAGACGGGGAGATTCAGATCCACACACATCCGCGTCCCCCCTCTCCCTCGGTTTCCTCTCCCACCACCAACCCCCAGATCCCGGTGATCTCCGCCGCCGCCCTCTTGGGGAGAGGTGCGAGGAAGGCAGGCGTAGAGGCTCCAGGAGGAGGAGGAGGAGGGAGGCGCAGCGGGGCCGGAGGGGGAGATGTTCCTGTGGGACTGGTTCTACGGGGTGCTGGCCTCCCTCGGCCTGTGGCAGAAGGAGGCCAAGATCCTCTTCCTTGGCCTCGACAACGCCGGCAAGACCACGCTGCTCCACATGCTCAAGGACGAGGTACGTCACCGTTCCGCTTCTGCTTCCGGCATCCTAGATCTGATCACACCCCGATCGGATCCTGTCCATTTCTTGCTTCCCTGGACCTGCCTGATCCGTGCTTGTCCCCATCGTTGCAGCGGTTGGTGCAGCACCAGCCGACGCAGCACCCGACGTCGGAGGAGCTCAGCATCGGCAAGATCAAGTTCAAGGCCTTCGACCTCGGCGGCCACCAGATCGCGCGCCGCGTCTGGAAGGATTACTACGCAAAGGTCGAGCTCGATTTATCCGTCCTTTTAATACGCGCCGTGTGGTCAGATCTACGTCTTGCGCGCTATGTTCGTCACTTTGAGCCCTTGATTGAAAACAACGTGTTCGAATTTCTATCCGTGCTAGGTTACATAGGTAACCCTTTTCCTTTTCAGCGACGTTGAAGGGACGCCAGAAATTCTTGATTTGACGTTTTCGAATCTTGTTTGGGAATTCTGATTCTGCTAGTTTGAGAAATTGATCAGTAGCTCCTGTATGGAAGTGTTTTATATGCAGTCAAATTCCCGGGTCAGTTCTGGTTCTTTAGGTGCTCTGAGACGATGTGAAATTGAGTATAAAAATTTGACAGTTTGTGATGTAGATTAAGATCAATAGCATATATACACAGAAATTCCCAGGTCATAAAGGTGCATGTTGTTGTATGTTTATTTTGTGGTCAGTCTTAAGGTCCTTTGAAATGGATGCGCTTTGGGAGGCAACTGAATCAATTGCTTCATATACTTGTTGTATGTACTGTACGTCTGTCAATACATTTTCTGGTTCTGTGCATATTTATGTTGACATTTATGGCATGTGTTCTTTAGAAATACACATATGCTTGTATGCCATGCTACTTCTGTCACTTTTTGTTACAGTAACTTTCAAAATTTTCAATTGATAACATTTTTCAATTAACAACGTGAAAGTTGCATTCTTCATCTTCACACTGTTTCTGGCACAAGTCATTGGGCACTTCATAAATTATTCCTTTTGTGTAGTCAAAGCTTTTAACGTGGACTTCAGACTTTTAGCCATTTGGTATTGACTAACGTTACGTGTCGTTTTGCAATGCAGTAGCATATGCCTTTACTTTTAGCTGGTATTTTTTGTGTCATCTTGCTCTACCCTGTAACAATACTGCAACTTTTATTATCTTATGCCCACTTGCAATGCATGGTGTTTTGATCCTTTCATTGCTTCATTTTCACCGTCAAGAGGCACCCAAAGTCTGTTTGCATGATTTATATTTAACATTGGTCTAAATATGTATTTTGTTACATGATATTTCATTTTACATGCTGATGTTACCATTATTTCCTATCGTCTTTGCACATTGTGCTATCCTTATTCCTTGTACCAAAATTTGTGAAGCAATTATTAGCTGCAGACAGTTGTGGTTCGTTTCCTGTGTTCTATCTTTGTTTTGCAGCTCATTATAAGCTAATTATTTTGCTAATGCCTTTGCTTATATTCCATCAGAAACAGCTCTTCATATGTCTGCCTGGTTTTTTCTTTTTCGTATTGCAACAGGTTGATGCTGTAGTATACCTGGTAGATGCATATGATAAGGAGCGATTTGCTGAATCAAAAAAGGAGCTCGATGCTCTCCTGTCTGATGATTCCTTGGCCAATGTTCCATTTCTTATCCTTGGCAACAAGATTGATATCCCATATGCTGCCTCTGAAGAGGAGCTACGGTATCACCTAGGCCTTAGCAACTTCACAACAGGGAAGGGCAAGGTCAACCTTGGCGACTCCAATGTCCGGCCACTTGAGGTTTTCATGTGCAGTGTTGTTCGCAAGATGGGCTATGGTGATGGTTTCAAGTGGGTCTCCCAGTACATCAAGTAGGGCCCTCGCCGAGGCACATGCTCAGCCCAGCGATTTTTTTGCCTTGTTATTTGTTCTGGTTGGTTGTTCGTCACGAGAACGATGATCATCATGACAGTATTATGGAGGGTATGAAGAGGAAAAAACAGTGCTTAACATTGGGGAACATGTTGAATCTTTAGTGTCAAAACAATTTGTTATGTCAATCAAACTCCTGAAATTCTTTTGATTTTCCATAGGACGTTTACTAAGGACTTGCTTGCGATGCATTATAAGATTATTGGTTTCTTAAATTATGTGTTATGTTCGTGGATTGCTACTGAGTAGCGGTCATTGCATTATCAATGCATGTCCTTTGTTTGATTAATTTTTTTCCTAAGGCCTATATATGATCAATGCATGTCCTCCGTAGCTTGTTTAGTCCATGTGGTGGAGAGGGGTGCCAACAAAGGCCGAACGGGGCAAACTCCTAATTCCTAAACTTGTTTTTGCCTTGCTGATCGAGGACATGGAACAAATTTGTTTGTTTGGATACGTTGCCTAGCCATCTCGGTTTTTTTTTTTCCGACTCAAGCCATCTTGAAGCCTGTGCAAGGCAAGTTTGGGCCTTCCTAAAATTACTGTTATATCGAATATTTGATACATAAATAGAGTATTAAATATAGATTAGTTACGAAATTAATTGTACAACTTGTGACTAATTTACAAGATAAATCTTTTAAATCTAATTAGATCATGATTTGACAACGTGGTGTCATAGTAACTTGTGCTAACGACAGATTAATTATGTTTAAAAAATTCGTCTCGTAAATTAGTCTTCATCTATCTAATTGGTTTTGTAATTAATCTATATTTAATATTTAATACTTTTTATTAGTATCTAAATATTCGATGTGACATTAAATTTTAGAAGCGCCTATTCCCCTTGTCTTGCTAGCCTGATTGAGTTGAATTGTGTCTCCCGAGGCGACGGTTGTGGCTGTGAGCAAGCGGGCTGAAGGATGATGATGTTGCAGGCTGCACATGAAGCCATATTTCAATAATGCTAATATGCAGATGCAGCGATGAAGCCATTTTTCAATAATGCTAAAATGCAGATACAAAAGTTGATAGGTGTCTCGGTTTTTTTTTTTCCGACTCAAGCCATCTTGAAGCCTGTGCAAGGCAAGTTTGGGCCTTCCTAAAATTACTGTTATATCGAATATTTGATACATAAATAGAGTATTAAATATAGATTAGTTACGAAATTAATTGTACAACTTGTGACTAATTTACAAGATAAATCTTTTAAATCTAATTAGATCATGATTTGACAACGTGGTGTCATAGTAACTTGTGCTAACGACAGATTAATTATGTTTAAAAAATTCGTCTCGTAAATTAGTCTTCATCTATCTAATTGGTTTTGTAATTAATCTATATTTAATATTTAATACTTTTTATTAGTATCTAAATATTCGATGTGACATTAAATTTTAAGCGCTATATTCCCTTGTCTTGCTAGCCTGATTGAGTTGAATTGTGTCTCCCGAGGCGACGGTTGTGGCTGTGAGCAAGCGGGCTGAAGGATGATGATGTTGCAGGCTGCACATGAAGCCATATTTCAATAATGCTAATATGCAGATGCAGCGATGAAGCCATTTTTCAATAATGCTAAAATGCAGATACAAAAGTTGATAGGTGTCACAAATCATGTCCTCTTTCTCTAAATAACTGTCATTCTCGTTTTCTGAGAAATAACTTTAACTAATTTTAAATAGAAAAATATTAATATTTATGGTATATAATTAAAATCATTAGAGAGATCGTTGAACCTATTTTCATAATAAATTTATTTGGAGATACAAATGTTACATATATTTTTTATAAATCTAGTCAAACTTATGGCATGGAAACAAAAAACGACAGTTATTTACGGGCGGATGGAGTACTGCTAGTATTTGTAGGCTGGACGGAAAACTCACGACTTGCTAGCTCGCTTGGCTTAGTGCTAACTCGATTCAACTTGGCTTAGCTCGTCTATTTTTTTAATGAGTAGAGCTAGCATTTTAGCTCATAAAGTTAATTATAATGACGTCTTGTGACATTTTGGCGGTTTAAAGGAATTGGATGCATGGAATGAAATGTGAAATGTGTTAGTGGCATGATTCTATTTCCACCTGTGGTTCACGTGCAGATCCTTATAAAAAGAGGGCCATTTCCACGACCAATTTTTATATATTTTTTTTTATATTAAATCTTAAAATAAATCTAGAAAATATAAACACCCTCGTTAAGTAGTGGCCTTTGAATCCAAGTGCCTAGGTTTAACCAAAGAAGATCTATCTAGTTTTTTTTTAATAATGGAAATAGATTCGGCTCCATCTTTTGTCATCAAAGTTTAACCACACAAATGACCCGCTTAAAACTTAATTCTAACATTATGAGGCCATCCAAAGGAAGAAAAAATCCATTGTCGCCACCTCTAGCACTTGACCAACTTGAAGAATGCGTTCTTTATTGGTTTCACCCTACTGTAACTGTGCCTATTGTCATAGCCAATATGTTCATCTGAATATAACCTGCAAAAAAGTTTTGGGCCGACACTTGTAAAAAACAACTTCATTCCTTATAAACCATATTGTCCACTAAATGATTGTACATCCTATCAGCAACATAGATTGATTTGATACTCCCCCCCCCCCTTGTTTCTACAACTTGTTAAAAAGATCATGGATATCTTCTGGGGGTTTCAATCGTAGTACAAAGTGAACCACTCTCCAAAGAAATGGAGCATATAAGCAATCAAAGAAAGAGGTGTTCAATTGTTTTGTTCTTAGAGCAAAAATAACACATTTTGCTCATGTTCTAATTTCTTCTTGCCAAATTATCTTTGGTTAGAATAATACAATCATTTTAGCAACCACAAAAGATAATTCTAAGTGATATCTTTAGCCGCCAAAATTTCTGAGAAACCTTCACTACGCTAGAACATGAGATCACTGTCGGGTCGAAACCTCCCATCACTACTGGAATTGCTTCCTCTAGTGGATAATCAGCAATGATGGGGTGGCCTATCACTACTGGTTTGTTAACCTTGCAGTGATAATAGGCAAATCACTACTGGGTCAAATCATCAGACGACAGGATATCCATGAGTATCACTACGGGTTGACGCATGAACAGGCAGAGATATGGTGAGTGACTGAGTGTCATTGTCGGTTTAAAACATGATCCAACAGTGGAACTTATGACACCACTACTAAATTAGTGCACATCCGGCAGTGATTTATTGAGTGGCACTGCCGGCCTAATAGCACACCCGACAGTTATTATTATAACACACCAGAGAATTCTCATTGCCATCACATTTCTCACAAGATAAGATATGTGAATACATCATAACTAGAAAACTTAATAGGTAGATATGAAGTCATTACAAACCAGTCACACTATTACACTCTTATTACAAACTAACTAAAGCACAGTCGCTACTACTAGTCACCAAGTGCCATGACATAGTCCGTGTAGTGAACATCCCCTATTGTGTATCTGAGCACATCATTTAAGTATATCAACGCATGAATTAGTGCACTCTTTTTTGCCTAACAAGGACGAGCACATGGTCTACCAACGATTAAACAAACTCGAGGCACTACAAATAGGCTATCTCCTAAAGCAAAATGCACACGACCCTGCAATCCATGTGAGGTGGACCTTGAACTTGCATAGTACCAGTGGTACCCAAGTTGCTCCATGACTTGAGTTAGAATGGTGTGGAAGTTACACGCAGCGTACATCGAATCATGATACAGACCCTATAAGTGGAGTCAACAAATAGAATATATATGAGCACCATGAATGGAAAAATAATATACACACACACACATGTGAGCACCACTTTGACTATTTGACATCTATGTCGATGTGGTAGTAGTCAGCTCACTAACTACTACCGCATCTGGATTGCCCTCATGTAAAGCTTGTACCCGAATGCATAAGAAGTCATGAATTATGTATCCATTGGCCATAAGCTCGTCCATACATAGTCTCACATCATTTTTCTCAGCAGTTATTTGATTCAGTGCCCTCCTTCCCGCAACGGCAATTTCTAGGACGTCCTGAGGCCCACATCATCTTTCAGCAATGTTGAAAGTGATACTACAACGAAATCCCTCTCTACCATGGACGTTCGTTGCCACATGATTAATTTTATGAACTCTGACAAACCAGTCTATCTTGGAACCATCTAATCATCTCAATTATCTATGATAAATTATAAAAGCGTGTTAGGATGTAAAAAATCTATGTTCAATTGAGTGTAAGATAAGATTACTTACTATGGTCGAAAATAGGAATTGTGCCGGCTACTAAGTTGGCCTGAATGGCATAGATCTGGGGACAAATCCATGTGCCTTAGGAGGAGGTGGGGCACCCTGCATGTCTGATCATGTACGCACAAGTTTCACATGTATTACACTATAGGTACATATAGATTGGGACAATGCATATCAGGATAATTGACATAATTAGGACATGTTGCATATTGACATAATCAAGACAATTCTAGACTTGTGTTGTAGATAAATACAAATTAGGATAATACATAGGCATATCATATCATATCATATCCACATGTCCAAAAGAAAACCTTAATTAGGCAAGTGTTGACGATGATTTCGTCAACATTTTGGTTTGTCAAAAATGTCACGAAAGTGTCACATATGAAAGGACATAAGCCAACCATGAATGATTTTGGTACAAATGACTTGGTTCCACATGTACGTTGGCCGATCCCCAAGTATGGCCAATTGACCATCCAAATACGTCACCATGATGGGCATTGCTTCTAGAAGCTATGTGCAAAAGATGAGTATGATTGGCTACTGTTGGACGTTGGTCGATGTCCCCATGGTGCCTATCAACCTCCCCAAGCTTCCATGGTCCATGTCAAGGTCCCCAAAGTCAATCTCCACCCTTGGATCACAAGTGTGCTTTCTCTCAACAGCTGGAGATGAGAGCACATGGATCCATGGTTCCAC